TTTTTTTTTTTTTTTTTGAAATACAAGAAAATCTTAAAAAGTCTTAACAAACTTAGTCGCAAATAAGTTAAATATCTCGGGATTTTGTGAGACTTATTAAAATCTCAAATGAATACCTCTAGATTTTTAAAAGTCTTAAAAAATTTTAATTAAATACACCATAATTTTTAAAGTCTTAAAAAGTCTTTAAAAATCCCAAATGTCTGTGATGAGTCGAAAAGTCACAATTAAAGTACGAAACAAAATTGTAAATAAAAAAAAAAACAAAAAACAAAAAAAGCAACTTACGCGATTCCTTGAGCAAGACTAGTCGCGACTTTCATTCTCATGGCCCAATCCAATGTCCTTCCCCCTCTGGGAACATGGTGCAGCCATCGATCCAAAGGCCCGTTCGCAATAAACTCATACACAATGTAACGATCTCCATGATCATAACAGCATCCTTTAACAGCCACTAAGTTCGGATGATGTAATCTTGCGACCCTTCCTATCTCAGAATAGAACTCCTTTTTCCTTTGAAAACCGGATCTCTTCAACCTTTTAACCGCTACCCTCGAACCATCTGGTAGAAGTCCGCTGTATGTGCCCCCGGTTTTCGCATCACCAAGAAGACGACTTCCTTCACTGAAATTCTTTGTAATCGACTTTAGCTCATCACGTGTAAACACTTTCCACGATGGAGGAACTAATGCCAGCTCAGCTGCTGTATTGGACTGCTTGCGAGATCTTTTAATACGCCTTTTACTACGTTTGTATATAAGAAGCCATAACACAACAGCTAGAGTGGTGAAAAAGATGAGACCGCTAACTACAGCAAGAATGATAAGATATTCCTTGTGGCAGTGCATACCCTGACATCTATTTCCTGAAAATTTGAAAAATAATTTAGAGGAAAAAATAACTAAAAGAAGATTCGGTAGAACTAGATTTTACACAACATACCCGAATCAAGCATACATAGAAAAGGATGCGAGCTATTGCACCCTTGAGCCAAGAGAGATGTGATCCCAGTCCCATTAACCATTAACGTGCAGATATCGGTCAAATTACTGCTCGAGCAAGATATATTGGTACAGGCAGACTGGACTGGCATGGTGAGACAAACAGATGCATTTGAGCAAGTTGTATTGTCTGACCATTTCCAGTTTCCATTGAGTAATCTGCCGCCAATCCAGCATCCATTAGAATGTTCACTGCACAACTTTGCAAGAAGAGCTAGCTCTTGCAACGATTTAACTGCTGCCAGATGGGCATTATAAGATGTGCACTGCTTCTCGGATTCTTGCCATGATTCGTTTCTAGCAAAGTATTTAAAACACAATGTGTTGTTCAGATTGCTGCTCCAGCCAGGCGGGCATGGCACTGTAATTACACAGGAAATTTCACATGGTTAATAAATTTTATTATCAAACACAGGCTTCAGGACATGACTAACAGTGCTAGCTTGAGACAATAGGGCTTGTTTTTCTTTTTCGTCCATCCTTTTATGAGCTTGTTCTTTTATGATAATACTAATAACACAATCAGAGACTGCACTTCCCCTATTTAAGTAGTTCGGTTTTATTTGATTCAATTAGCCGAACTCCTAAAAATGTAGACATTACATTTAATGCAGGTGAAAATAGAGAAATTAAAGGACGATACTACAACCCATGTACATCTAATATATTTTCGTTATCTTAGGCATACAAAGGAAGTAATAGACTGTGGTGAATGAAGATGAAGGACAACACGAGCAGTATAGTGGAATGGTTTCTCTCCCTCCCTCCCTCCCCCCTCTCTCTCTCTCTCTCTCTCTCTCTCTCCTCCCCCCTCTCTCTCTCATTTATTTATTTTTTTTATTTTTTCATTATTGACTCTACTTGTCGAACACTAATGAGCAAGCAACAAGGTGCTTTATATAAGAAATAAATCAACTTTTACGCTCCAAATGGACATAAGAATAGGGGGAAAGAAGCAATGCACGCTTTGATCGTAAGTTCCACCTTTAAGTTTGGTATTTGCACAACACAACATTATATCCAGGCAAAATACTTACTCCAAAAAGCCACACACGAGAAGTTCTGTCGCATCAGTGACGGGTATACAATGAAACCAGTAGTTAGAAGAGAAAGAGTTACTAACGATATTTTAACTCCAAGCAAGTGCCTTTTTTTTTTTTTTTGCCTTGCCTTCTTACAATGCAAATAAATTGACTGATCGAGAATTTCAAAGTCAGAAAATTGTAACAAACATTTTTTCAGGTGGAGAACAATAGCCTTTACTGATGGTTTTTGCAGGGGCAATAAGTTAAGTTGAGGCAAACAAACAATTTTCTTTATAATTTCCACATTTTGCCATTTTCTAATTCAATTTGCATCATATAAATCACAAGCTATTAAGCTAATAAGCTATTAGCAAAACGAACTCAGACAGACATTGTACTTCCAACAACCAGAAACACAA